CTTTCTCTCATCCAGACTTGTCTAGAGTTGTTCCTCTGGTCCTATCCTGACTCCAAATTGCTGTGCTCAAGCCAAATGCAAGATGTCCTATTTATTGAATGAACAGCGAAAGTGTCTTCTTTGGTTCTTGGCACAACCTATGACCAATGCCTGGCTCATTTGTCCCCTCAGCCCTCCATCCAGCTCATTAACATCAACCCTAGAGACATCAGATTAGATAACAGCCCTGTGGTGTGGCTTCTGCGACCCAACTCCTTCCCCAGAAACACGATCCTCATGGGGACTTCCTGCATAGATGCCCCATTGCACTCCTCCATTCCCCTCCCACAGCTGCATGCAGGGACTGGTAAAAACAGGTGTGGGGCTCTAAGAGCAAAACTTAGGAGACTGCATCTCCAAAACCTGAGACAGAGTTGAGAGTAATTTTTCTGGGGCTTTACTGTCCCATTGCCAGTGATCACAGGAAGTAGCCCATCTACGCTGTAATGGGGGATCATCCACAGACTGGAAAACGAGATGATTGCGTAGAATTAAAAGACGCTTAGGGATGAGTTGAGTATGGAAACAGTCCTTCAGCTAAGTCAGGGCATTTCTTTGAAATAGTTCCTTTATGGGGGGAAAAATGGAAATTGAATTAACATATGTAGCTCTTTCCTCTTTACCAGTGAATACATGGGATACACACCACTCAATGGATCATAGAAGAGTTTGAATTGTATTGAATATAATGTTCATTAAATGAACAATTCTGATCATTCCTAACTGACTTTAGTGAGTTTGGTTAGTAGTGTCAACATAGCAGAGGCCCTTCAGTTGACAAGCCTTTAAATTGTCCATCAGGGACCCAACTGACATGTCCTCACAGATCCATTGCAGGAGATGCTCTGGGTAGTAGGCAGGTAGGAGGAAGCTCAGGTTTTTGTCTCACTTCCCCTACTAATCAGGTCAGTGGTTTCAACCCACCAGCTCCTCTGTGGGACAAAGATGTGGCAGTCTGCTGCCATAAGGTTTTATAAGGGGCCTTAGTTAATCAGCAAGCAGGCACACCCTTCTTATGTATATTGGTCTTATTGTGTAAAATACACATAACACAAAAATGACCAGTGTCAGCATTTGAAAGAGCATCATTCAGTGTATTAGCTCCATTCCCAATATTTTGCAACCATCCCCACTATCTATTTTCATAACATTTTCATTGTCACAAAAGGAAATCCTTTAACCGTTTAACCCATTAACCAGTCACTCCCGATTCCCAATCATTGCAGTCACTATGACCCAAAACCCTTGAAAAGTGTCATCGTGTCAAACTTAAGGGCCTTAATATGTGGTATAAATAGACTACCAAGCATAATTCAAAATGCACCAAAAGCAGAAGAGAAGCCAGATGATTGGAACCTTCTAAAAATTAAATTTTTATGTGCTTCCAAAGACTTCTCCAAAAGAGTCAAAA